GAAAGAAATCGCCGAGCGCGGACTGGGGCGAGCGAAGCGAGCCGAGCGCTGCCTTCGTTCCCGCCCCAGACAGCGCTCGGCGATTTCATTCGGAGCCTATCTCAGGCTATCATTTTCTAGCTTCTGATTAACTTCTGATTATGGCTACTTGGGATAGTGCCGGTGTATGCGCAATGTATGGAGTCATTGGCCGAAATCTAAATATTCCTAGAAAAAGAAAGACAAGAATATCAAAAATTAATGTAAACTACAAATGTATTCCCTGGAGCATAGAGTGGAGACAATAACAAGCATGTCAAAGCTTACATAGCCGAAGGGATTTTTGCCGGGACCTACTCGGAAGGGATGGGGGGGGATGGGGGGGGGAGGCACTCCTTTAACTACTTCAGCCTCCTTAACGCCCTTCCCCGCCACTTACCCCTCGCCACACACTAAAAGCCAACGGGCTCCTCCCTTTGCGAATTCTTGGCTTTCATTGCATTACAAGTTTCGATTTCAAGATCCACGTGATCTCTCGGCTCCTTTTCCAACTTACGGGATTTTACCCTAGTTAAACATCGGTTCCGAAAAATTCAGGATTATCCTGTTGGGGGGGGGGGGGGGGGGGGGATTTCCAGGCCGGCTTAGTGACCTCCTCCTCTTTGTGCTTCTCCTGTTGCGAAATATATATTTATTTCTCTCGGTTCCCGCCACCTTGGGTATCACGCTTTCTGCTCTTTTAACACGTCCCGTAGACTACCCCCCCCCCCCCCCCCCCACCCCCCCTGTCCAGGCTTGTTGACCTTCTTGCGCAAGTTAATTTCATGGCACTGTTGTCTTTCAGTCATCAAATTCAAAGTGATTCTGACAGAGAGGCGCGAGAACCAAGAAACAATAATCCGTGGAAAAGTCATCAGGGTATTCAGTCACACCAACGTTACTATCCACAAGGGTCGCGTCAAGATCTGGAGCAACACAACCTGCTCGTCCCTCGGGACGGGAAAGGTGTTCTTGATTGGCGGCCACGAGAACGCGTCAAGACAAAAACTGCTGCTGTCATCGAAAAGCCTGATAGAGGCCTGGAGCGGAGAGACGCAGAAAAAGATCAAAAAGTGGCAAAGAATTGAGAAGAAACTGGGAACAAAGAAAGGAGTTAAAAGGTAAAATCCGACGAAGGTTGATCCCTGAAAGCGTGGAGCGCGAAAATGGCGGGAAAATGGCTGTATGGACGAGAAGGGATTGGAGCGCGCCGCACCCTCGTCTCGCCCCAAGCTCCCTCCCGTGCTTCCTTTCATGATTTCGAGAGAAAAACAGACTGCAAGCAATACACCTAAGTGATGTTATTTGAAGAAGGAAAAGATATAGTATATAAGTTATATAGCTAGCGACTCCAGTTTCTGTAGTATGAAAGGACTAATGGTATTGCTACCACCCCTGGATGGGTTGCTTAAGTCCATGGCAGATTACCTTCAGAATTTTGGTTTCCGCCAACAATTGCCCCCAGACCATCTGTATCCCTAGCGAGCTAGCTGAATTGAAACACCCGTGGGAGTGTCTTACCTATACGAACATCCGGCTTAAAAGACGACATTTCTAAACCAGCTAGAGAAATAACTTAAATTTCACAGTCGGAAAATATTGGCTGCTTAAATCTTATCCAAATAATAAAACAAGTGAATGGTGCTTTTTGCGCGTTCTGATTGGCTACTCAAACTCCGGATCATTTGCTATTCACCTTCGAGCTAAAAACAAAATGACTAACTTTCCACGAGTTTTTGCCTGATTTTTCACAAGATAAAATATAACAATAGAGTTGATGTTCGCGGGCGTAAATATGTTTTTGGCCCGACTCAGACTCATTTTAGCCCGAGCCGCTTATTACTATTATAATAATTTCAGAGGGCATTTAGAAAAGGAATCAAAGACAGTAAGCGATATCTTGAACACTGCCGGTGTCGGGTCGACGTTTATTTCATTGTAAACTTGGCAGAAAAACCGTCCGCAAAATTCGTCGAAACAATCTGTGCTCTAAAGTTCTCTTGAAAGGAAAAATTACAGAATTCCATCAACAGCAAAGAAATAGTCATCTAGAAGTGTTGGAACTTTCTAATCATGCAATTACTGAACTGGCAATTTTGCATAAAATATTTTGCCTGAACTGAGCGGGTTTCGATCGAAGAAGACAAACTTACATTCAATTCGCCGCCGTGTATGGATTCTTCCCGAGTTTCTGTAAGTCCTCTTCAACTAGCTGTACTGAGAAGGCTGAAAATTTGCTTCTTCGTTAGCTTTTTTCAGCCGTCTGAAATATAAAGCTCAAAAACAATAGCTTTGCAGCTGCAGATGCAGCACTTCGAGTCAACGGCGGCTTTGAATTCCAAGAAAACGGCGCGAACAGTTGAATGGTTTCCAGTTCTGATTGGCTGCTACGTTATTTTCTTGTTTCTGATTGGCTCAGTTCAGCGGGCTAAAATAAATTTTAGCCCGCTGAATTCTCCATTTTAGCCCGCAAAATACGCCACAATGCCCGATGAAGTTATTATAATAAATGTTTAGGGCTGGCTATTCATTTTTTGCATACTAAAACATTTACCGTAAAAGCTCTATTTAGCCACCCCTCTCTATTAAGCCCCCATATCTAATAAGCCTCCCCCCCTTTGGAAGTCAGATTTTGTAATAAGCCCCCTCCTTCCTTCAGGCTGATGTAAATGACTTTTCAACAATATTTTCTGGCGTTTCAGTCACTTTGTATTGAAACGTGGTCTTTAATCTCCAGAACTATCGTCGAGTTAGGGTATAAATGACGTTTCCTTTGTAAGACGGTCATACATAACCCATTCTTGTTCTGTTTTAGTTAGTGGTGTAATAGTAAAGTTTGAAAAATTAATGTGAATTTTCTTGAAAATGTATGATTTGAAATAAGCCCCCCTCTCTATTAAGCCCCCCCCCCCCCCCCACTTCTTGAAGCCTGAAATTAAATAAGCCCCCCCGGGGGCTTATAGACCTTTTACGGTATTTACCTCAGTATCGGTGAAAAGCCACTATTCACCTCACCTTCCTCCCGCTTCGGTGGATAATTGTTAAATACGATGTCGAAGTTGTAAAGACTTGATATGAAGACTTCACTTGTAGGAACTAACTTGTGTTATTTTCCCGCTAACCTGTCTTTATTTTTCTTCTTTTTTCCAGAAACATCAACAGACAGCAGTGATGAATTTATAAAGAAACCTGAACTTATGCAAGCAGCCAGACCACAGAAATGAGAACTATTTAATTAAGTTAAATTTCTTTTAGTTTTATTGTTTGTTATCTATGACTGTATTTTCACGGCATGTTAAAGTAAAACGAAACTCGGAAAATCCGGCATATCGCCGGGATTACTGATAAATATTAATAGCCCAGTGGTTAGGTAACTTGATTTGTCATCGGCCGAGCAAGTTATTAGTAAAAATATTAAAATCCGAGAGAAAATATCTGATAGATGAAAAGATTGCTGGGTCGTCTGGCCAGTAGAGTGATATAATTCGTAGCCCGGATCTTAAATAAGGTTCAGTGAATCCGTCTCATAATAGAACTGTATTCATGGAACTACATTCGAATGGATAATAGAGCGAAATGGTTTATATGAAGCCCAGCAAAGTTCTTTATGTAATTTTTGTTCGCTTTTTTGGCCTTGACCGTGCATAAAACCTGTCAGTGACAAAATACAAAAATAGGTGTTTACGTGTCAGTTCAAGCAGGCTAACCAATAGAAACGTTTTCGGTTACCGTGGTAATTCAACCATCGCAAAACAAAAGATTGTGCACGGTCGTGGACCTTCCAACATACTGATCTTAGCTCATTGTTCACCTCCTTTGAAGTTTGCCGGGCTTCATTTGCCTATATTATCTATGATCCAGGTGTTTTTATGTAAAGTATTTAACAAACACAAATTACCTAAATATTGTAGTCTCAACATTTCATCGTTTTTCTTTAATAAACAGATTGTTAGTGACATTGTTGAATACTGCGTTTTGTTTGACTATAGTCTAGCCGAAGAAAGCGCAATCCTGTTGGTTCTGACAATCGACTTATAGAGCATATAGGCGGGGATTTCACTAGGAAGGTCGCTGTTTTGAATCCCTGGGGGATGTTGCAACTGTTCCGTCTCCCAGGTGGGATCCCTGCGTATTACAGCTTTCTCATGGTGATCTGCAACCGTCGGGTCAATTTAGGAAAACTGGAAACATCGGAATAAATTTGTTAAAAAAGAGGAAACAACGCAGTTAATCTTGGACCTGAATCATGCGAAGAACTACTAAAAAATACTATACTGAAAAAAGCAATCATCTGTTATATTTCATTCAATCTCAAGATTATGTTGGAAGTGCTTTTCACGTTTCGCAGGTCTTTTAAAATTTGAGAAGCGGTCAAAAAATCGGGATGAAAGGACTGAAACTATATCACGCTTTGCTCAAGATGTTGTTTCCACATACAAACTCCAGAATACTTTTCGCCTGAGAAACTGAAAGTAATATTGGTGTTTTATGCACCTCAGACTCCCTACAACTCCTGGGCTGTGAGACTTTGTAAACAAAGAGTTGGAAGGGACTGGTTAATTGAGTCCCGGTACAAGCCTGTACAAAACTACTGTACGAGTATAAACACATGGTATAAAAAAAGATAAAAATTACGACAGCATTCACGTTTTAATTAAGCGCTTGCTTTATTGGCAATAGCCATGGTTTTACAGCGAATATAACGTAAGCTCTTTACAAAATGCTTTTTGTAAGTTTTCTATGTAATGGAGCTTCAGTCATCGGCCGTTTCTTCTTCCAAGCTTCTTCAAGCTCTCTTCGCTGGTCATCATATTCTTCGTCATCTCTCAGATCAAGTTTTGCGCAGTTCAGTTCTTTCGCTGCCTGACAAATGCTGTTTAGGGAACGAGCCATCTGAAACAGAAATGTCGTTTGAGTATATTAATAGAAGATTAGAAATAACAAGCATATCTAATTATATGGCCAAAGCTCCCACGCCGGAGTCTCCTGTAGCTCAGTGGTAGAGCGTCCGACCGGCGTGCGGAAGGTCATAGGTTCAAAATCTTGTTGGGAGAACTCGGAATTATTTTTCCGAGTAGCTTGTGTCACTGACTGATTTAAACATTTCTCAATAGGCATTTATTTAATACCAGTAGCCCTTATTATCCATGTTATTAAAAGCGTGTTTTCTGTCAATTAGGGGGTCAGGCAGCAGGTGGTGATAAGAGAAATTAAATGATATCAGAGGCAAGTGTATTTTGAACTACCGCCCGAGTCTCTTTCGGAACATGATGTTCAGAAAAACAGTCAACTGCGCTCTTAATATAGGATTGTGCATTCATGATTTTAAAAGTGTTTGTGCACAGAAATCTCCCTCTATTTGCTAAACAGGAATTGAAAAGATTCTCAGGAATTAACTGGAGATACAGATCCTACAATTTATCCGAGAAAACTCAAAAATCAACTAATCTACTGCCGTGTTAAACTGACAGTATATATAGCACTCGCACATTTTGAGCCGGTTATTTTAAGGAGCAAAAGAAAAAACTTTATCTTATCATATACTTAAAGAATCCACTGTCAGATACAAACAATTGTTTTTCTTAATATGGTAGGTTAAAGCATCTAAGAATTTTAATAAGACATAATCGTGCAGTTATGAAAACAGAGCAACCCACAGGTGAAATCGAAGTTTAGTTATGTCAGTTTCAGTGTGTATCCTAGTAGTGTATCCTTCTAGTAGACAGGTCAACATTTGTCGCTCAATTCTCGTTCAATTTTGTCTACTATTCAGCTTATTCCAATTGTGAAGTAACATTCAATTACAGTCGAAGCTCTCGGAGCGGACATTCTCGTAAGCGGACAGCTCTAGCTATACTTACGGCCATCTTGACAAACCTCGTTTGAACTCTAGCTACCTCCTCATAGTACAAACTGCTGTATTTACACATTCCCGTAAGCGGCCAGCTCCAGTTTGCAGACACTTTTTCTGCTTCCCGAGAGTGTCCACTTACGGGAGCTTCGACTGTATTTGTTATTACAACTAATGGAATTTTTCTATAACCATTTCTACAGCTAGCACTTATAATTTCCGAGAGAATATTCAGATGCCGAAAAGACGCGTCAGTTTTTACAGCGAGAAACAAGATCTTTTCCCGGCTTTGATTCTATAGCTATCGATAAAAGGAAAATATTCAAATCTGAGAATTACAGATTACATATAAAACAGAACTCATTTGCCGTATTCTTCCATCAAGTTTAAGCCTATTTTTGACTGCAACGTATACGATTTTCTGAATGCTGGTTAATATATGATAAAAATGCGTGCATTTTTTATCGAAGCTGGTCAAAGATGTCAAAGACTGGAAGACGTGCCTTTCTCTGGAGATAGCATGTGCATGTGGAGCTTCGACTGTACGTAGATCCTAACTGAAAAGCTCGCTTGAATTCTAACAAAACCCTGAGCATTCTTTTTTTACCTTTGATCTTTTTCCCAATCGTGGAAGTGCAGCAGCGCCCTCTGTATCGTGAGTACAAACCAATAACACAACAAGACACAGGAAAACCGCTGAGTATAAGAACTTATTCATAGCAGCGATGAACAGACTGGAACGGAATGTAATGTTAGTAGCGTGCTTCGATGAATAGAGTACACAACGCAATTTTAATATAACACTCCATTTTTGTAGATAACCACTATTTAAACTAATTAGCTGAAATGACAGACCAGTTTTTCTTATGCAAAACTAGGCTTTGACTGATTAAAGTTTAAAGGCCAAGAGTTTTGTTGTTAATGGATTTTTAATTACTACAACAAGAAAAACTGGGTGCGTAAACATCTGAGTTTTCAAAGTTCTTAAAATGTGCAGCTGCCAACACATTTATTCACGTTGTTATAAATGTATAAAATATAGTAAATATGCGTGGGGACGAAGCGGCTCGCCATTGTACGCCGCCCATACAGATCGGACGCGAATATTTTATATTACTTGTGAAATTAATATTTTTTAGCTATAGAAATGAACAATGGTTTGTTTGAATACGTGTTAGCCGAGTTAGAGATCTTTATGAAAGTTAATAATCCTTATTAGTATTATGCTGTATTGGATTTACAGATGTATACATGCATTGATCAAGCTCAGTACCTTTATGAATTATTAATTGATAATGAATTTTACAACGGTTAACAACCGCGAGTAGCTTGTGTCACTGACTGATAAAACATCTTTCTCATATTTCTACCAACCTTAAAATTCACCATCATTTATTTCTACACATATCTCCGCACGTATCGACAAAAACCTATCCTAGCAGTATGTGAGCTTAATATGTGGGATGTTTGTCACTGATACAGACTAGTTATATGGCCTTAGCTCCCACGAGTCTCCTGTGGCTCAGTGGTAGAGCGTTCGACCGGTGTGTGGAAGGTCATAGGTTCGACTCCTGTTGGGAGAACTCGCTTGTGTCACTAACTGATAAAACATCTTTCTCAACGACGACTTTTATTGTCAATTATCAATTTTTATAAAGTGAATTACAATCAATGGAAACGCCTACATAATTGCAATTTTGTCTTGCGGACGTGGTTACTGAGGTGAATTAGCTGACATGCAGTCAGTATTCCTTACGTGGAGCCCACCCAGTCTTGACCAGATTAACGCCCTTCCGAGCGTTTGGCACCCCGCCCAAAGACGACGCATCCAGAAATAATTGCTTATCCTCAGATGACGTGAATGTACCGCATTCTCGAAAAATCGAAAGAAAGACTATATTTATTAAAAGTACGTATGGAAGCAATGCGGTATAATATGAAACTTACCATAATTACATTAATTGACTTGAAGATATAATTTTTCACTCTAAATGTCCTAAATCTGAGTTTGTTTTTTATTGAAATGTTGTTCTAACTATAAATTACCATTCAAATGAAAACTGTTTAACAGTACTTTCATGTAGTACTGTTTATCATGCTGTACAATGTTGTGCTAACTTTTAAGTCTGTGAATGAAACCCTAGTGTGTAACCATTCAAATGAAAGCCATATTGAACATTGAGCAGTTAATACTTTCTTTTTTTCATGTGGTGTTTTAATATTTTGCAAAATGAAACTGGAATTATTTTTTCACTTTTGTACTTGGTAATCGTCTGCAAACAAACCACAGGAACCACTAAACTGCTTGTGAACGTCACCCCCCAAAATCGTGGATCAATAGCTCATTGGATTATTTTTCAATTCGCCTACATTTTTTAATTAGTTAACTTAAAGTGCACCTAACCGCAAAAATTTTTCTTCGCTTAAATAAATCTAATGTAATTCGAAAGGCATTTCTGCGAAAAAATTTTTGGATTCGGTTGAATCCTCGATTTTCTATGCTCTGCTGAAGTCACGTTCGATGTGTTGCACGACCGCGTATAGGGAGTCTGGAGTCTGGTGCCGAGTTATGACGTCTACTCGGGAACCACACAATATAGCGCCTCTGTCATTTCTCTGTATTTGTTTTTGGGATAATTGAACATAAAAGGGATCATTTCTATGTCTTTTGGGACTTAAAACTGAATAATTTTGTTTCGAAATTGTGCGTTCTTCATCTTCGGAGTCAAAGTTAAGTTCCGATTCGAATTACTCCGAAATAAACTTCATTTCTGAAGTAGAAATCGAGCTGGAATCGACGCGTGATTTTATACATAAATATGCGTTCCTCAATCAATACTTCAAGCGGCAATGAGAAGAAATCTTCGGCAGATGAACCGCTTCGAGACCTGGAATGGACCAAATAAATGTGAAAAGGAAGTCAAAGCGAATGAAGAGCCGAAAAGAAAGCTCAAGGACCGCTTAGATAGCACTGAAGAAGCCAGTCAATGGTAAGCAATATTCGTGTCACCTATAAACTTTGCTACTTCCGACGAGCGTTTTAGACATTTTATATGTTTGCTTTTCGAGTATGCATTTCGTAAAGCAATGGTTATTCTGTTTAAATGCCAGCTTTTCACCATTTAATGTTTGCAACAGCCAAGTAAACCGTCGCAGTTGTAAGAATTCTCGCTCGAGGCTTTTGTTTAGATGCTTTTCGTAGATGTCTGTTTAGCGAGGTTACAGTTTACCAATATGCCATCCAATAAAGCTTGTTTTGGCTCAGTTCTATTTAAGTATTGGTCCATGCTTAAGGTTGTCTATCGAGAGTTTATAGAGAAGTGTATTAAGAGTTGCTTGAGGCGCAGCCAAGAGACAGTCGATCGATTGAAAATCGGCTTGCTCGCGCGCGGGCCTGAAAATGTAAGCCGCAGAAAACAAACTGAAAGGAAACAAGCCACATCACTACAGTTTTGACATCCAGAAACGTTTGTCGTTACTATTCCAAATAACCACCATAGTGAATCAAGTTAATTTTCAAGTAAAAAACCGTGAAATAAATGACTTTTTCTTCCTCGATAAGCGAAGTGGGTATGTTCCCTCGGTGGTCCGCATTGATACCCATAGATGTTACGATCTGTACACACACGGCTGTCGCACTGCTTATTTCCCGGCCTCAGAAAATAACTTTTAGAGTCAAAATATTTTGTCATTTTTCTTATTTAGTCATTCGAAAGAAATTCGTCTTTGACTTACCTCAAAATTTCCTGAATTGCTTCGCACAAGGAAGAAATGTTGACGCCATACAGTTGCGCGATACTACGGATGAACGCTCGGATTCCACGCTCGTGCTACTGAATTTTGCCGGCTATGTCATTGGTAGAGATAACATTTGGTCGAATTGCTAGTTGACTTCGACCGGGTAGATTTGAAAATAGCCTTAGGAAGTCTACTGGAAGTGCGCGGAACAAACTCCAGAGTTCTCAAATTTATGACTCTCCGCACAGTCCCACTTCGCTCATTTGAGTTTACAAAATCCACCGTCTTTTTCGTATGTTCTCGACCATCGCTTTAAAATGGTATAGTATACCTTTATCTAAATCTGGCGTGCTGCTGCAACGCCCAATAACGCACCTGGAAGGCGTTTTCTACACACTTCTCGAATGTGTATCGCATCTTTTTTAAGTAAATGAGTGGACGCGAAGGATCGAACGTTCCCGAGTAG